ATATAATAATATTTAATCAATCAAATTGTTTTCGAGTGAGTGTTCTGCAATTGGTTATACCCGACTGCAAGGCTGCTGTTATTATGATGGATGCTGATGAGGTTGATTCCCAGGAATTATGCTCATAGCATATATGAAAACGTAGTCTAACTTTTAACTAGTTATTCATGATATATAGTATGTATATATATACCTGAGGCATTTAGTACGAACTATGTTGAAACTGAAATGGAATTTGCTTAAATGGGCTACAGGCTACCCCATTTGCCTCTCTTCATTAATCGCGTTTCTTGTAAACTCATCAGACGTCAACATTCAATTAGCCTGAACTTTGCCTTAAATTTGTTAATAGACAAATGTGTGCGTGTGCGTTATAGTGTGTGTGTGTGTGTGTGTTTGTATACTTGCACATATATAGTCAAATTAGTGTATTTTATAATTGTTTATTTCTTTATTTCTTATGTATTCTGACAGTTAATTATTTTGCTAGATTTCCGATTGTAGCGCACGTGGCGCACGTTGTCCGAAATGCGAAAGAAAATGGAATTGGAAAATGGAAAAGAAAATGAACAAGAAGAAGAAGAAGAAGAAGCCTGCAATCCGCAGCAGTGAGTAAAAATTTGTTTATTTTGATGCGGACTGCGGCTACGGTCAATTCGATAAAAATTCGTCATTGATTTTCCACGGAAAATGACTGAGTGAATTGGCAACATATATGAATATGCATATGTACATATTAACATACATATGTATGTATATACTTTGATGCATATAGTTTATCTCTGTTTGTGTATACTAAAGATATTCTGTATGATTAACCCCAAATTTGTTTATTGTACTATGAAAACCGAGGCATTTGCTCTGCATCAGCTGCACAGCTGACGATCATGATGATGATGATGATGATGATGAGGATGCTGATCCGGGTTACTCACCTATCACATTTATCAGGGCGAGCAGCTCACACACGTAGTATCTGTACGCCCACCAATTGTGATATCTGGAATTGCAGGAATTCAATTGTGAAATTGCAAATGCGCTAAGTAATTTGCAATCGTCTTGGCTTACCTTAAATTTTCCCATAAATAATCTAAAAGTAATTTCTTTTTTTGTTTTTTCTCGGCTTCGGAACAAATGCCTATATCTAAGTCCATGATGAGCGCATGAATTTTGCCACCCTCCCAAGACTTCCACAGCCATCTTGGTGTGTAAAATAAGATTGCCTGCAAGTAGAGAGCGAGAGAGAGAGAGGGAGAGATGTATGAGATATAATCAAGATATATGTATGTATATGCATATATACACWATATATATTTAGTATATTTAGTTCTGTAAAGGTGAGCTAGGGCGACGCAGTGTAGGCGTCTGTCGTAAAAGCGCTTAAATTTGACAAGTGACAATTGCCAGCTGCTTGCCTTAGCCTGGCCATAGGCCATGGCTAGAGCCCGGCCAAGTAATTCCAGCTAACAATGCCAAAGGTATTATATGATCAAAATTGCCTTTGCTTGACCTTCCCAGTGCATGCCTCTGCATATTGTTCTCATTATTATTATT